ACTTACAAAATTACAACATTACCCCTCAGGCTGTCTACAGAATGGCCCAGATGTGCAATTATTTGTTAAGCTCAAAGAAATCTTAGGCATGACATGATCAAATCTGCTTGGTCATAAAGGAACTAAAATGTGTATATATATATATATATATATATATATATATATATATATATATGTTCTCTTTACATCTGATATTTCCTTGGATTGCACAGTATGCAGGATCAGCATGGGATGAACTTAAGCACATAAGGCAATCTGTTGGGTTTTTGGTATGTATATTTTCTTGATTGAAGCATCATTTGATGAAAATGTAAATATGCATAGGGTTTTTAAACTAGAAAAGGACATTCAGAGAATTGTTTGAAACAATTACTTTAAAGTAAATACCTATATTAAATTTACAAAAGAACATTCAGTGCTTGAAGCATGGTGTTTGACTGTTGAATGTTCACTTTACTCAATTCCTTTCTTTTTAGAGTCCTGACAAACAGTTTATTGTCAACTGATACATACAGTTTACTGTCATACAGTTCATCATTTGTTGAAGTGTGGTTTTCTTCTTTTTCTTTTTAGTTTGATTGCATACAGACTATTTGTGTCTTTGGTGTTTGGTGTTTATTCTAACCTCTAATTTTAATTTTCTTCTATTCAATGTCTGTTACCTGTTAAAGAAAGTAATAACACCCTTAACCGCCTCTACGTAGGAATTGCTCCCACCTCCTTGTTTTCGAAATTATTTGAATTAATTTCTTTTCCAGGAAACTGTCATTTGGTCCTTATTTGTAGACTGTTCCTCTCCTCATTTTCTTGCTTCTGCACATGTGTTCCTCTATCCTCTCTCCCTCCACATGTACACCACCCTGCCACCTCACCATCATCTTCAACCTTGTTACAACCCTTCCACAGTGATGCTTCAAGTTTTGTCGCCAACCAGATCTTGCTCCACAGACCATCGAAGAACACATCAATCGATCAAGGGGCATCCTCCGGTATCACCACTATGATCTGAGCTCTTGTAGCATGCAGGTTGATGATATTAAGTATTCCTCCCAAGCCCCTTGCTACTCTATCAAGAATATGCTCCCTACATATATTGAAGGGAATCCCCAGCAGCTTTATAATAAAACTTCATTTATTTTCTTCTAGTTGCACGAGGTATGCCATTTTTCCACCATAATCAGGCCTATCTCAGTCCCAACTGTTGAAAACTCTGCATTCTCTTCCCTAATCAATGTAGCCTTCCTATCGTCAAAGGGCATAAGGATCACAGCAGTCCTAATATTGAGTTGCTCCACAACCGACTCCAGTATTCCTGTCCAATCTGTCACTTCATTACCTGCCGTAATTACCAATCTCTGTTCCCAATGACCTACCACTGCATCCTACATCATCTTTTTAATCTTGCGTGAACCAGTTATAGAAATTGGTGATTTTTGCTTCACGACTCTCTCCAGTTCATCGCTGTTATGATTTTGTACTATCCGATCCCCCATTAGATTCTAAACATTTATCTTCATTATTGATGATGTATGAACCAGTTATGGTGGTTTTTGTTCTTCATGACTCTCTCCCTTCAGTTCATCACTGTTATGGTTTGTATTATCCAAGCCCCCATTAGATTCTAAACATTTATCGTCATTATCCATGAGTCTCTGTTGCTTCATCTTGCCCTCTTTTATCTTCAACATAACTTCCTATATTTTATCTGGAAAAAAAAGTTTCCAAACTCTTCTCTCTCTCTCTCCCTCTCTACACTCCTATAGCTTATCTTCAACAACTCTTCTTGTTGTTGCTGTTTCATGAATAAATGCGACCAATTACCCAACCAACAAAGCTAGTTAAAAATAACATCTTGTTGCATGTTGACAAATCTGCCTAACATTGAACTCGGTACAATAAAATGGTTGAATAATTGAAAAATGAGTTTATTCAGGAATACACATTGAATGCTGAGATACGCATAGAAGTTTTGGTAACTCTTGTGTTGCATCCTTCACATCTAGACAAGCACATCCATTATTTCTTTTTCTCGTTTAATTGGCTTCTTCTGTTGATCTGCAGGTTATACACCAGAAGTCTAGAATTTCGTATGATGACATCACCAATGACCTCTGCCCAGTATCTCTCTCTCTCTCTCCATCCACTTATGCATCTTATCTTCTATGCATCTTTCTACCTAAATTGTAATTGGTGCCTGCTTTTCCAGATTTTGACTGTCGAGCAGCTTTATAGAATATGTACATTGTACTGGGATGACAACTACAATACTCCAACTGTTGATCCAGCTGTAAGTTTTAACATTACTGATTCTCTTTTCTTTTTACAGTTTATTGTCAACTGGTTGTATATTTTGAGGCTTCTATTTCCTATAACAGTTCCAAATTTTTATTATTACCTTTCTACAGGTCATTTCTAGCATGAAGGAGATGATGACGGAGGACAACAACAATGATGTTAGCAACTCCTTTTTATTGGATGAGAATTCCAGGTGAAAAGTTTTCCTCTCCATCGCAGAACAGTAAACTAGGCAGCTCGTTTTCTATTAACACATGCCTGTTTAATGCAGCATTCCCTTCTCAGTGGAAGAGATATCAAGTTCTATGCAAGAGAAGGAGTTTGCATACGTGAAACCTGCAGCAGTACTTCTTGAGAATCCAGCTTTCCAATTTTTACAGGAGTGAGGCTGTTCTCAACCAATTCTTTTCTCGCTGGAATATTTTACAACTCAAAGGTAGAAAGTAAATCCCCAGTCTCTTCAGTATGCCTTCATTTAATGTAAATTCTCCCTTTATTCCTCTTTTTTCATCATATATTATTTTTCTCTGCATCCATGCCCTGCTGTAAAATTATTCTTTGAATTTAGATTTTTGTAAAATGCCTAGGGTGATTCAGAATAGTTAAGAGGGGTAGGATAGATTTTGTTTTCCTTTTGATCGATGCACCATTTTTTGTTTTATTTTCTTTTTGGTATTGGGGCAGCATTCTTTGTAAGGAGGTTAGGAGGCAAGCTTACTGTTGGTGGGAGGTGTCAATCTTGTTCCCCCTGCCCTCCCAATTTTCATTGTATAAAGCGTCAAATATGTGACCACATTTATAGGAGAATTCTTTGGTTCCTAATTTTTTGTACACCTTGTATACACTCTGGATGGATTTTTTACAACAAAGCAAGCAGGCTTGTAAAAAAAAATATGTATTACTGTCACTTGCTGTTACTTTATCACTCAGTTGAAAAGGAATTGATTTGTTTCAGATGGGATATTTGTTTGTTTCCTTTAAAGGCTTCCACGCTGAGTTAGCCTTATGTGAACTTGTGTAGCATGTGCAAACAAGCAAAGGATAATGTGAGTAGCTTCTCAATAATATAGATGGCAATTAGTCTTTTATTCATTGACATTGAGCCCCGAGTATCTTTGGTTAAAGTGGATTACTGATGCGCTAGTGTTAGCAAATATACGGGAATGACTCTTTGATTTAAAGATATCCTAGTCAGGTCCTGTCTTCTTTTTATCTGGCTTCCTTTTCATATTATTCCTGTTTTGATGAGTTGAGGTTTCTCTCTAAACGTTTTCAAATATTCATGCATATTTTATTCCACCATAAATTGGAGATCCTACATAGCTTTAGGAGCCTAGTGTAGCAACCGGGATTCAAACTGTCTTCTAATATATGTACTGAGATATGATTAGGATTTGGGACACACTTGGGATACGGTGGATTAGGACAAATAAATGAAATTCATCAAGGAAATCCATATAAATCTTACAAATGCATATTTACTTTGGAAATGTCGGGGAATGGTACAAGTATTAGGATATGTTAGTAATGGCTTAAGAAATCAATATAAATATCATCAAACACCAATGCTTTTGAAAATATTAATTTTAATCATTAATTAGCTTTCCTTTCATTTTTTAGTTTTCTTGTTTCAATTTCTTAGAAATTGGTCTATATCTATCAATACTCAGCCATGCTATCAACCAAGAAGGGTTGATACTGAAGGTGCCCAACTGGCTCGGTTAGTAAGGTCTTTTGGCTGATTATAATGGAGGCTTGGGTTTGATTCCCTCCACCTGGGTTGAGGGGTTGTAATGGAGGATTGGGATTGACGGGTTACAAGTTACAACCAAATTGTGTACTATGATGCAGGAAACAAAAGGCGGATTATCATTGGTGGAATTGCTAAGATACCCCAGTATTTTTAGTTTTGCTCCCAATACTTTTAATTTTTGTTATTTATTGATTTTTTACAAATTTTTTTGTTGAACATTCATATAACAACATTATTGATTTGAATTAAATGTACCCTAAAAATTTAATAAAGCCTATATGATTTCAAACATTAGCATCATTGCAAGTAAGGTGGCTTAGTGGCAAGCATGGTTCAAAGTTTTGAAAATGGAGTATAGAAAGACAATTTTAAAAGGTGTATCAGGATACACTTTAAACAAGCATGGATACCGTGGAGAAACTTGTATTTATCCTAATAATATAGGGTCTGTTTGGCATGTCTTTTTTAAGTAGATCTTTCTACAGCCCAGCAGATCAAAAGACATATCGAGCTTTTTAGAGCTTGTCTTTCAAGATAAGCGATTTGGTAAATATCTTGGCCTACCATGTTCTACCAAGCTGTTAAAATTATATTTCAGGCACATAACATGGAAATTTTCTTAACTTTTTAACCATTTTTGGCTTCTGTGAGCTTTCTAGGGTCCGATTCTTTTCAGTTTCCCATCATTCATTATCAAATGAAAAATGACCAAATTTATTAATCTGTTTGGGAAATCTTCTTAATTAGATCTTTCAACAGCCCAAGAGACCAAAAGATATAATGAGCAAAGTTTTAAAAACCGATCCAAAACCAGAATCGTTCTAGCAAATAGTTTCCGGGTCAAAGGTTTGACCATCTGGTTTGAATAGACAGGTCGTTCCAACTTAAAAAATAAAAAATAATCAAAAACCATTGAACCAGTCAAAGGGCTGACGCTTGACCAATTCAACGGTTTTTTATCAAGGACTGGGTTTGAGTAAAATAAAACTAGTTGCCTGGACAGTTCCCAAGCCGGATCAATGGTGGTTCAAAACTGATACCAAGTATTTTGGAGCTTATCTTTCAAGATCATGATGATTATTTTGATCTACCATGATCTATTGGGCCGTTAAAAATGATATTTTACGCATGGGTTTTTTAGTCTTCCCTCTTTCATTGTCAAACGTTTTTTACATCAAAGGCATCCAAAGGGTTATCATATTAAATTGGGTGCTTTTGAGCTTCATTATATGGGCTTCATCCGACTGTTTTTAAGTATTTGCATTAATTAATCTATAAGGTACATCCTCCCAACAAGTTTGATTCAAGTACAACCTATTTTGTGTCTTAACTTCTTTGGCAACTCCATGAGATTTATATACTTTAATACTCACTGCAATAATCATTTCTTGTGATATTTAGCACGACCCTTAATTGTTAATCCATGATTTAATTCAACTCAACTCAAACCTAAGCTAAACTATGTTCTGACATGCCATTCTATTACCCTTTAAATTGTTAAATTTTCGGATCCTTTTTTTAGCTTCCTCGAGTAATGCCCTTTGCAGCGTCCCTGTAGTCTATTATAGCTCTTATCCATTGGTCATTTAAGTTCCTTAATATTATATTGCTCCCCAACAATAGTAATTAGAACAACCTGGAGAAACATGCAGGAATAATTAATCGATGAACCACAAATATGGTTTCTGCTATTGAATCTAATTAGTAAATTGTACGTGATAATTCTAGATAACATTAATAATTTCAAGGGCAAATTTCTTAAAGTATCTTTATGGTTTAGCTAATTGACTAATTCCACCCATACTGTTTGACTATTGTCTTAAAGTATCCCTATTGTTTCAGATAATTGACTAACACCTCCCTTATCGTCAAGTCTCCATCAAGAGCCATTCACATGTGACATCATGTGATTGATTGTTCATCATATAATACCAAAACTACCCTTTGATGGTCGAAAATTCCCTTTATGATTTAGATGTAGGGCRCTATTAGAGTATAGGTTTAGAGGCTTAGGTTCTGCTCGACAAACCAGGTTTGGAGTATAGGAGACCATAGCCAGAGCCACAAGTTCTGCCATACCAAACGAACTTGAAGTAGTGGTTGTCAACCAACCGAATAAATTTGGAGGAGGAAGAAGGAAGACTATGAAAAGCAAAGTATTGTCTTCCGTCCATCTGCAAGAAAAAAATTAAAAAAAAAATGTTTGTAAGCTAAACATAAAAGACAAGAAACTAAACATACAAGACAAGAAAGAATCGTCCTATCTGATTAGGGTTTAACACTATTTGATTAGGGTTTAATGCTAGGGGCGTCCATGGTTCGGTTTTTGCAAACCGAACCGGTTCTACTAGTTTTTCAATTTCTCCAAATTGATACCAAACCAGTACCACTGGTTAACTGGTCCGTCGGTTTCGGATTTTGACCGGTTCGGTTCTTCAGTATTTTTGATTTTTTATATTCATAATATATATTATATAAATATATGTATAATATTATACTATAAATAATAAATCATATATAATATATTATAAGGATTATAAAAATATATAATATATTTATAAATAGATTATTATAAATATAATATATGTATATATTTATATATAATGCATATATATATTTATATATAATATATAGAGGTGTAAAGTGGGCCATGCCGAGCTAGCACGGCACGGCCCGTGGTCGGCTCCCACTTTGTGCAGGCTGTGTTGTGCTGGCCTGCGGGCCATCACGGGCTGTGCCGCCATCCTTGGTGAAAAATTTGGGGGTCAGCCCGGCACGGCCCACGGCCCGGGTCCATGTGGGGCCGGGCTGGCCCGTGGACCGAGCCTTGGGCTAGGTCGGACCGTCTATTGGGCCAAAGCTATTTATTTAAAAAAATTGACAAAAAACTTAAAATTTTAATTTTATATGAATTTTGTGTATAAAATTGCTTATATATGCAATAATTAAATAAATTAGTATAATAAAATTAAAAGAAATATTTATTTTATTAATATATTATATACTATATACTATTATATAATTATAATATATATAAAATATATATAAATATATATAATATATATAAAGTATACCCGACACGACCCAATTTACACCTCTAATAATATATAGAAAATATGTGACATATTTAAAATATATATAAAATATACATATAAATATATATACCGATCAATTTGGTTAACTGTCGATTTTTTTCTAGGGTAACCGAAAACCAAACCGGTCCTTCAGTTTTTCAAAAATACCAAACCGAAACCGAAACCGATCAGTTCGGTTAACCGCATTTTCCAGTTTGGTTCGGTTTTTCAGTTTTCATGGACACCCCTATTTAATGCCATTATAGTACATTAGTTCAATAGTTGCCTTTAAAATTTGAAAAATAGGGCAAAACAGTGTTTTTCTCCATAAAAAAATAAAAAAATAAAAAAATAAAAAACTATCTGATTAGGATTTAACGCCATTACAGTCGAATAAGAAACCTTACTGATTAGGGTTTTTCCCCACACAGTTGAATAACCCTATCTAATTAGGGTTTAATCCCATACGAAACCTTACCTAAACAAATCGTTTACGCCATCACACCGTTAGGAGTTGTAGCAGTAACCCACGCAACTGATGGTGTTCGTTCTCCACTCAGGTTCAGGCCGAGTTCTCCACATAGTTAATGAAGCTATTAAAGCGATGGACAAAAACGTCATCACACCACTCTTAGTTGCAGCGGTAACCCACATAGCCGATGGTGTTTGTTCTCCATTCATGTTCAAACTGGTTCTCCATGGTTCAAACTGAGTTCTCCACTAAGTCAACGAAGCTATTAAAGCGGTGGACAAAAACGTCGTCACATCGTCAGGAGTTGCAATGGTAACCCACGCAGCCGATGGTGTTCATTCTCCACTCAAATTCAAACTGAGTTCTCCACTCAGTCAATGAAACTATTAAAACGATGGACAAAAACATAATTTCCAATTTGGCGCGTTTATTGAAATAGGGGCAAAAGCGATATTTCACCTTCCTCCGTTACGATTTAACAATGCGGATAATTGTCCAAAACAGTAAGGGTACTTTAAGACAATAGTCAACCATTAGGGGTGGAGTTAGTCAATTAGCTAAACCATAAGGGTAATTTAAGAATTTTGCCCTAATTTCAATATTCTTATTAGAACCATTTAAAAAAGTTAAGTATTTTTTTTGTATTTGGTGCCATTA